GTGTTGGGCAGGGTGTTAGACGTGTGTCTGGCTGCGTGGAGCAGCGTGTCGAGCAGCGTGTCGGGTGTGTGTTGAGCAGCGTGTCGAGCAGCATGTCAGGCATGTGTCCAGTGCAGCGTGTCGAGCAGCATGTGGAGTAGTGTGTTGGGCCGTGTGTTAGGCGTGTCTCTGACTGCGTGTGGAGCAGCGTGTCGGACAGTGTGTCAGACGTTTGTCGGCTAGCGTGTCGGCTAGCGTGTCGGGTGTGTGTTTGGCACGTTTGGCATGTGTTGGGCAGCGTGTCGGGCAGGTGTCTGGCAGCATGACTATAGTATGCTGGACAGTGTGTTGTCTTTCTGGAAATCTTGGTTGTACACAATAGCAAAGGAAGTGACTCTGATTTTCTAATATCAGCTTATCAGTAGACTTCTGCCATCAGCGATTTCGCTGCCGTTCGAGATTGTTGTTTTTTAACTGGGAGAGACGTTGTCAGGTTCTGCGTCTGTCCTTCAGTCATTCTTCTGAAAACAGATGAGAAAACGAACTAGTGCTTATAGACAACAAACATCAGGCGTCTGTGAGGAGCAGCAGCACTGCAAGAGCTCCTTGTGCAGCAGGCATCTCGACTGCGAGTGATTATTGCTAAAAGTGTTAATACAAGTCTAAAAATAGGCTTTCCTAAAAATTGAAAAATACTCTTTCATGCAGTTGGGCTGGGCAAATCATACCAAACACATCTATGAACTGTTGAGTAATTGCGTTTGTCCCTTTCTGATGGTCACGTGACTCTGTGAGCTGTTTGTCTCGGCGTCTCCTGTATTCAGAGCCCGGGGCTGTGAACTCGCAGTTTCCATTCGCTTGGGCTCTTAATCTGCTGGCTGGTCTGTCAGTCCAGCAGCATGTCCGAGACTGTCAGTGTGCACTAAGAAGGAGGGAGCAGTGTATCACAGACGGTCAGCGTGCACTGGGAGGGAGCAGTGTGACACAGAGACTGTCAGTGTGCACTGGGAGGGAGCAGTGTGACACACAGACTGTCAGTGTGCACTGGGAGGGAGCAGTGTGACACAGACCGTCAGCGTGCACTGGGAGGAAGTAGTGTATCACAGACTGTCAGTGTGCACTGGGAGGAAGTAGTGTGATACAGACTGTCAGCGTGCACTGGGAGGGAGCAGTGTGACACAGAG